CTCCTCCTCCTCGAGCTTCCGGCCCGGGCCGCAGCGCCGTGCCTGGTGTGCGGGCTGGCGTCCCCCGAGGCTGGGGCGCCGCGCCGGGCCTCCTCCAGCTCGCGCCGGAGCGCGCGCACCTCGGCCTCGTGCGCCCAGCGCTGCGCCTCCAGCGCCCTGGCCGAGCTCTCGTCCTTGGAGGCCTCCCAAACGGCAGACGACGACGACGACGACGACGACGACGACGACGACGACGACGACGACGACGACGACGACGACGACAAGGACGACGACGACGACGACGACGACGACGACGACGACGACGACGACGACGACGCCGACGACGTCGAGCGCCAGGCCGCCGAAGGCAGGCCGCAGAGGGCGGACCGGCGAAGCCACGCCTGGGGGGCCACATGCGAACTCCACCCTCCCCCTCAGAAATCGTGGGGGCTAGGGGTAGGGTTCGCATGTGGCCCCCTAACGCCGCCGAAAGCACGCCGCCGAGGTCCGCCAGAGGCCCCCGAGCAGAAGGGGTCGAAGGACCGCTCCGCGTCGCCGAGGCATCGGCGATGCGGGCGCGGAGAACATCGTACTCGCCGCGTCGCCGAGGCATCGGCGATGCGGACACGGAGAACATCGGGCTCCACATCGAGAATAGAAAAACAAAAAACGCCATAAACATAGATTGTTGGCGCTCCGCGTGGATTTTTGGGGTCTACGCTGGACCACCATCTCTGGCGCGCGGAACGCGCCAATAGGCGGCGCTGGAGGCGCCGCCAGGGGGGCCCAGCGCGGATCCAAGAAATCCGTGCGGAGCGCCAAAAGCTTATGTTCACGGCGTTTTTGTTTCTTCTTAGAGAGAAGCATCGCCGATGCCTCGGCGATGCGGCGCGATCCTTGGGCCCCATCTGCTCGGACCCCCTCTGGGAGGCCTATGGAGTCCTGCCGGCGGCAGCCGTGCTGCAGCTCCGAGGCCTGCCAGCCCTTCTCCTCTCGGGCGGGAGGCGCGCCGCGCATGCCAGACCCGCCCCCCAGATCTCCGAGGATCTGACTCTCACATTTTGGCGGCGAGCGAAGGGGGGGAAAATCCAAAGGAACCAGCGTTAAATCGGGCCCGTCCTCCTGCAGGAGGATCTTGGACGAACAAAACAAAAAAAAATAGGCAACAAAAATACCCCCCAAACGGTCAAGAAATACGAAAAAGATAGTCCCAGGCTACTTTTTGACTTTTTTTGAACACTCCTCCTGTAGAGGGACACGCCCGACTTAAAACCAGCGTCCCCCAGCCCTGGGTGGCCCACAACACCCGCCGAGGCCGCCGTTTTTAGGCTTCGGCGGCGGCGCCCCTGCGGCCGGCCGCGCGCGCCAGTGGCGGCAGTCCGGCGGCATCTGCCGCCCCGAAGGTGCGCAGGCCGAGGTCGAGGGCTGGCGGCGAGCGAGGGGGGGAGACTAGAAGGAGAAGGCCTTCTGGTCGGCGGCGAGACAGGGGGGGGGTAATGAGAACAGGAAGAAACACGATCTGCGCTGACCCCCCTCCCTGGCGCGCGGAGCGCGCCAGGGGCGGCGCCGGAGGCGCCGCCGGAGGGGGGCCCAGGCGCAGATCCAAGAAATCCGCGCGGAGCGCCAAGAGTTTATGTTTATGGAGTTGTTCCTGCTTCGAGATTTGAAAAAGAGAAGGCCTTCTCAGAAGGCGGCGGGACGTCTCAGAAGCCCTCGCGCCTTCTGAGAGGTTTTCTGTCTGCGGGGAAGGCTTCGAACAGTTCTCGAAGGCCAGGGGACCTCCGGGCCTTCTGAGCAGGCCCGCCCCTTCTCGCTGGCCCCTCTCGCTTGCCGCCGAACAGTCGGTGCGGGGCCCACAAACCCGCACCACCACCACATCCCTCACCTCCTCCCCTCCTCCTCCTCCTCCTCCTCCTCCTCCTCCTTCTCCTCCTCCTCCTCCTCCTCCTCCTCCTCCTCCGCCTCCTCCTCCTCCTCCTCCTCCTCCTCCGCCTCCGCCTCCGCCTCCTCCCCCAGGGAAAAGCGGGAGGGGAAGAGGAGGGTGGGAGGAGGGAGGGGGAAGCAGAGGTGGTCGTGGCGCACGTCCTTGGGGCCCGCCGTCGGGGCGCTCTCCCTCGACGTCGGCCCCTGGAGCCGGTCATCTCCGGCCCCAGGGGCCCTCAACAATGGCTCCAGGGCGGCAAGCTGCCCCAATGGGGGAGGGGCCGGGGCCTTCCAGGCGAGCCCAGGATCGAATCGATGGGTCGGACCGGCGATCGACAGGAATCGGATCGGCGTAGATCGGCAGCCGAGTGGGGAGAAGTCGAAGCGCGGCAGGAATCGGCAGGCTGAGAGGCCTCCACTGAGAGATCGGCATCCGAATCAGAATCCCTAGTCGAATGGACTCGGCATCGGCAGCCATCCAAGTCGACACGAATCGAATCGGAGGAATCGAAACGAGCCCTGCCTCCCGGGGCCGCGCCTCGGAGGAATCGCATCGTCGGGGGGCCAGAGCTGGCGCTGCGCTTCTCGGCCATGCGCCTTTCGAGCGGGAGAGCGACTACAGCGCTTACTTACGCCAAAATGGGGTTCGTCCGTCGAATCTACGAAACATACGCGGAATGTTCCGTAGATGTACGCACCGTTCTACGCACGCTCCGTAGATTCGACGGGGAGATCAATTCTGGAGTAAACAAGTAGTTCTACAGTCGACCCCCCACTCGAGCCGTCCGCCTCCTCCCGCGCGGCAGGCGCCGCGCAGAGCAGCATCGCTTGACCGATCCGCATCCCCACTGGCACGGGGATGTGTGCTGCTCCCCTCGGGCTTCGCAGGGCCAATCCCCACCTGCGGGGGTGGGCTGGCGGGGCTGAGGCACCACGGCCCTGTGGGGATGGGGATCGGCAAAACGATACTGAGCAGCAGCCGCTGCCGGCGCGGACGCAGTCGGTCGCCGCGGCGGCCCCGTGGCGGCATCTGCTGCGCGGGGGACCGGGAAGGTGGAGGTCGAGGGACTCCGAGGCCGGCCTCACTCAGTGCGTATCCACCGCCTGTGGGACCGATGTCGCAAGACCCCGCGAGGCGGTGGATCTGGATGCCTTGAGGGCCCCAGGGGGCCTGAAAACATCCGTATCCACCGCGTCCGGCGGGTTCCTGGGGGATCGGTTCCCAAGACGGCGGATATGTATCCCTGAGGGACCGATGTCGCAGGACCCCACGAGGCGGTGGATGTGGATGTTTTGAGGGCCCCAGAGAGCCTGAAACCGTCCATATCTCGGCTACACGTAAGAGTGACCCTAGGCAAGAGTGACCTTCGGTGCGCGACTCAACGGGGGACGCGGGGGACCCAACTCGGTGTGCGCAAGCCGCTGCTACTGCTTCGCCTCCAGTTATCAAGGACCCCATCAGTGTCCCCACCAAAGGTCACTCCGGCGGAAGGTCACTTTTATAGTCAACATGTATCATAAAGATGCGCGGTGAAGATGCAAGGGCCTTGGAGGCCCGTGTTAACGTTATTCGAACGAGCGAAACTCGCTAAGGATGGGCCGCAAGGGCAAGGATGCAAAGGTGCCCTTGGGAAGGTTGCCCATCCTTACTATGCGGGCCGACTGTACGTATAGTCGAAGATCCACCGCCTCCAGCGGGTCCTGGGGGATCGGCTCCCACGGCGGATGCGCATCACTCCCCGCCTAGGGTGCACAATGCCGCGCGCGCTGGCGCGCGAAGCGGCGTGCATCGAGCTGGTCTGGCGCACGTTTCCAAGACATCTTGCGTTTCGACTAGCCATCGCTCGGACGTCCATTCCACGTGTGTTCTTTCGGTTTCGCGCGTATATTGTGTCGCAGGAGGATACAAAATGCCCCATCGAGGGTCCTTGCCGGGAAAAAATGCACACGCCCGAGCGATGCCACGCCGACTTTGTTCAGCGCGTGGGCCCCCAGGCCTCCGGGCCCCTTCCCCGGAACAAACTTTATCCCAAGATGTTGTGCTGACGTTCCAGGGGCAATAACAAGGAACAAAAAGCGCATCGATTTGCTCGAAACGCCGGGTCTGGGCTGGCGGCGCCCAAAACGCCAACCAACAGCGCCAACGACAACAGCGCCAACGACAACAACAACAACAACAACAACAACAACAACAACAACAACAACAATCAGTTTAAGGTTGTTCGTTCTTATATGTTCGCGTGTCATTCCATATGCACATCCCAAACCCCGGATACCCGCCCTCTTCGCCTTCGATCGTACCCCCTTTTTCGGGGGTATATTCACCCCCTGCCACGCGCGGCTGGCGAAGCCCTTGAGAACGAAGTGTAACAGATAAGTGGGGAAAATGAGGACGAAGGGATCGGAGGAAGGGAGGGGCGGGAGGGGCAAGAAGGAGGGAGGACGATGATTTTCGCTGCGAGTGGCGACTCAGCTTGCGCAATGGCCTGCGCCAGCCACTCCAACACAGGTTAACAATAAGTTTCGCCATGGGTCGCGCCATAAACAGCGCCACGTACCACCCCCTTGAAAGAACATATCGTGGATACCCCCACGGGGGGACGTACAGCTGCGAACTGGTGTCAGAAACAAATTCCGTGGAACCCTGAAAAGAAGCGGGATGTTGGGAGAGTGGGGCGGAAGGGCAATGAGAACTGCAACCGCGTCGACAGGAGCGCGGGGATGTGGAGTCGATTGTAATGGAGTGAGTGGACAAGAGTAGGGTCTCAGGAGGAGGAGCGGCAAGGAGTGGAGAAGAGAAACCAGGAGGAGCGGAGGAGCGGGGGGCGCACGGAGGAATCTGGAGGAGGGACTGGGAATACTTTTGGGACAAAAATGCGGGATGCGAGCGGGAAGGGGTGGAGATTGTTGGGGTGGGATGGGGTGGCCTCGGGAAGGGTGGGCCGAATGCGAAGAGCTAAGGAATAGCACAATGGAGTACGAACGCCACGAAAATGAATATAAAAGGAAAGAATAAAGAAGTAAGGAAGTATCAGGCGGGAGCCGTTGTTGGCGCGGGCCACGACGGGCGCGAACGAGCGGGGGCCCCGAAGGGCATACGAATAGGGGGCCAGAGAGGGCAGCGACGAAGCCGCTGAGGGCAGAAACGAAGCCACGAAGGGCAGAGAGGGGGGCACTAAGAGCGACAGCGGGGCCACGAAGGGCATGCATATGGGGCCACGACGGGCGCGAACGAGCGGGGGCCACGAAGGGCATTCATATGGGCCAGAAAGGGCGACAGCGGGGCCACTGAGCGCAGAAAGTGGGACACGAAAGGCAGCGAGGGGGCCACGAATGGCGACAGCGGGGCGACGAAAAGCATGCGCATGGGACCACGACGGGCGCGAGCGAGCGGGGGCCACGAAGGGCGATTAATCCGGGGCCACAGAGGGGCAGCGACGGGGCCGCTGAGGGCAGAAACGGGGCCACGAAGGGCAGAGAGGGGGGCACTAAGAGCGACAGCGGGGCCACGAAGGGCATGCATATGGGGCCACGACGGGCGCGAACAAGCGGGGGCCACGAAGGGCATTCGTATATGGGGCCACAAAGGGCGACAGCAGGGCCACTGAGGGCAGCAAAGGGGCCACGAAGGGCAGCGAGAGGGCCACGAAGGGCGACAGCGGGGCTACGAAAGGCATGCGTATGGGGCCACGACGGGCGCGAGCGAGCGGGGCACAATGGGCAGCGACGGGGCCACCGAGGGCAGCAACGGGGCCACGAAGGGCAGCGAGCGAAGGCGACAGCGGAACCAATACGGGCAGCGAGGGGCATCGAAGGCGGGCGAAGGGTAGAGAGCGGCGACTGCAATCCCTAACGGGCTGGTCGGGCGGGCAGGCCCAGACGGGCGGGTCGACCGGGCGGGTCGTTGAAACGTAAATTCTACCGCCACGCAATATGTAACGGGAGCGCGATTCCTGAGTGTCGAGGAGCGGCATCTGAATTAAATTGTGAGGAAGTATCAGGCGGGAGCCGCGATTCGGCGATAAGTTGCGAAGAGAGCCCAAGCGAGAGCGCGATTCTTCAACAAA